TTCATTGTATATTTATGCCATAAATCAACAGTTTACATAGATTCACATACATTCTCTTATATCAAGTAAAGAGCTTGGGCTACCCGTGATAAGACCATAAAACATTGTAAATGAGAACAAGGTCTTAAAATATGCTCGCTTCCTCAACAGAAGAACAGGGTCTTAAAATAAGCCAACCCGGCCGAAAATAAGTTCTCTCAATTTAAGACCCACACGTTTTCTCCCAGGACATTAATTTAAGACTGAAGTTCTTACTTTAAGGGAAAACATAAGCTTACTTAAGTTAAATTTGAGAATTTAGAGTGTTTTTACAGTGTCGCCAGAAAATTTAATATAATTTCATGGTTTTAAATCTTTAAAACAGAAAACAAATGATTTTGCAACATTGCCTTACCTCCAGTTATCATGAAACTCCACTTAACACTCATTTCTGGTATTATTCAATCACAATTTTTGAAAAGACGCTGTTCGCCATGTTCACGCCACGCTGCTCAGCCAACTAATCTACCCATCACCACTTGCGATTGACGCTACCACAGGAAAACCAAATCAAGATTTAAAAATCCGCAGTCCAACTGAAGAAGTTGATAATCAAAAAAAAATGCACAAAAACAAAGAAGCAACTTTAATTTTCCTTGATATTTGAGCATTATTATCATTATAAGATGAAAGATAAAATTAGCAAAATAAAGAAAAAAGGAAAGCAGGTAAAAACAAACTATTGCGATCTATATGAACAAATTAAGTTCTTATAGATATCTTTATCATTTAATAATTATTTATGAAATATCTATGTTGTTCATTTTCGAAAATATAGTTATTAAAAATAATTTGMTTAAATTCACAATTGTATGATAGAYAAAATAATACATTGTCAAATTAAATTAATAGAATCTCATTTTGAAAACCGCTCACTATAACTTAAATTGTAATAGACATCTTTTCAACACCAGATGCTACAAAAACTATATGAAAAATCAATGCCTGCTAAGGGACTGTATAATTATTGTCAAAGGGGAGTGTAGAGTAGTTCTTGGTTTATGAAAAGCATTATAAAAATACACCCCGCCAAAATTATGAAAATTAAAAAAAACATGGTTGCACCGAACATACACTCCTTTACTTACTTCTTAGTTCTTCTTTAACTCAGTCTGCTGGTGCATACATCGARCTGTTAGGGCCTGGGCCAACCATATCCTTCTATTTCTTCTTACTCAATGCTTTTAAATTAAAWTTTTTTGTAGAAAGCATCAGCCGATCTTCCTTCAAGTACATAGTCTTCAAGCATCTTTATCGGTCTGTCTCTTTTTTGATTTTTGTTATCACTGAAGAGGAGCCTTGTAATGATAMTGGTGTTACTTTGTCTGGCGATGTGCGCGAGATGTTTGAGATAGTTGTTTTGCTGTCTTTTTACATATTGCAAGCATCGTCAGTGTTGCAAATGCGCAGAATATCTTCACGTGACAGAACATATTGGAAGATGTGTTTGTTTAGGAATGCAGAAAATGAAATATTTCTCCAGATTAATTTATTTTTTTTAAAAATGAGTGTTATTCAGATTCAATTTCTTCTTTTACATGTATCTATTTGCATCACAAATTCTATTTCTGTATTTTTAAGCTGGTGTCAGGCTAAGCCCTGCCCGTTCCGAAATTCAAAAAGGGACTGGTGACTAGTAGCTACTAGCAGTCAAATTACAGACACCAGGACAAGAAAGAGCATACTAAAATTAGTAAAGCTGTTGAGTTTGAGAGTATTCAAATTAATAATTACACAGTTTCAAGTGTTTAAAACTCGAAAAAATTACAAAGAATGTATGGAGGTTTTGAGCAGCGAACTATTGGGTCACATGATGGGCTTTTATATCCTGATAAAGCACTGATGTTTTATTAATCAGTTCTATATCAGATATATAGAACTGATGTTCAAGGTCTTAAAGGTTTTAAAAACTGGAGCAAAATGCAATCACTGAAATACAAAGAAAAATGATTACAATAGATAAATTGTCATGCAAACAGTGAGACTCCAAAAGGATATTGATCAGCTCTGGTAAAAAATGTCGGTTCTTATTTATCTAGATTCTTTGAGTCAACATTTTTTCGTATATAACATGCTTGATAAAATGAACGAAAAACGCTGGTTGTTGTCTTCGTATCTCCTTAAAGCCGTTCTTTTCGTATAGGGCCATGGCAGCATACTGGCCACTTGTTGTTTTAAGAGTCAGTTTTGTGTAGTTGTTGTCGTTGCAGAAGTGTTCAATGGCCTTTAATAATTTCGATGCTATTCCTCGTTTACGTATCGATGGGTTTACAGACATTCGAAGAACCTCCGCATGTCCTGGCTTGTGTTGGTCATTATGCAAAACACCAGCCATACCAACAATCGTTCCATTAAGAACGGCTACAAACATACACGAACCATCTTGATAAACTTTAGCAA